GGACAAAATCGTAGTCTGTAGTGAAGGTGAGGTATGCCAGTACTCCTGCAGGATCTCGACAATTGACGGCAGGTAATTCCTTATGTGTTGTCGCACGATGCTGACGAGGGTGGCCAGTTGATTGAAATAAGACTCGAGTCTTGTAGAGGTCGCAGATCGTATCACCTGTAGGAATGCCGGTATGATTCTATCAAGGAAGGACACACACTCCAAGCCAAGGGTGCGAAAGATGTTCATGATTGCTTCAATCACAGCGGCGTGGTGCTGGACCAACGAAGAGTCCTTCAGGATCTGGAGAAGAGCATTAATCACAACAGTTGGGAAGTACTCTTTGTTAGAGGGTGTCAATCCGGTCATCATGAGAGAAATGTCTGTTAGTTGGTTGGCCTCGCCACGTCGAGAATCGGGGGTTCGTTCCTCGGCCTGATCTGGTGTCAATAGTTGCATCAATTTTCGCCATTTCGCCAGATTTACCTGGTGTTTGTAAGGATCTAGAGCGCCAAGAATACCCATCAATTTGATCGTTTCCTGTCGCAGGGGTACTTGTTGCCCTTCGGTTCGGATGATGCTCTGCAGTATCTCGAGCAGCTGTGGGTATTCGATATATGGCTGAATGACGTATCCTGAATTGCTCGCAAGCTGTCCCAGAGCATGTAGAGCGGCACCCCGTTTTGCGTTGGAGCTCTGATCCTGTAGCGCATCAAGAATGATTGGCATCAGTCGGTCCTTGTAAGGCATCATGTCCTCGCCCCCCACAGTCGCAAGCTCACCAATGGCCTTGAGGATGGTAGCAGCAACAGAGGGGTTGCCATCCTTGGCTTTGGGGAGAAGTACTGAAATCATGGGTTCAACATAGGGCTTGATGAGAGATTGCGCATTTTGAACCAAGAGGCTCAACAGCTTTGCGCTTTCCTCCTTGTTCCTGGCGACATCGGAAAACTCGAGCTCAGTAAGCATCTGAATGAGAGTCTTTCGTAGCGAAGGAATGACGTATGCTGGGTTGTATCTAGCCAAGCGGCCGATGATAGAGATGGCGACTTCCCTGATCGAGAAAACCTCGTCGTTGAGCGCAAAGAATAGAATGCGAATATTTTCGGCCTTGGCCAAGTGTCTGTCAAATCGTTCGTCGAGAGCCGCCAGAACTGTCCGCCTGATATTCGGTTCAGGGTCTGAGACTCCGACTGTGAGAAGTTTCTCAATCACATCACCCACAACCTGAAGCGCATGGTAACTCGTCTGGTTGACAATCGGATCGCGAACGTATAATTGGCAGCATGTCAAGGCCGCTGCCTCGCGGATTTCTGGATCCTCGTCTTCAACGTACTTGATAGCGACATCTCGGACAAACTCGTTCAGAACATGTCCAGAGAAATCGAAGCTACCGAGAGTGTTAAGCGCCAACTTGACCTCAGCCCTTCGGTGCTCGTAAGCGTGGGGGTCTTTCGCGTCTTTGGGAATAATCGGCACTGAGCTGAGAGTATTCGGTTGTGGAGCGCCAAGGGGTTTGAACGGTTCGCCGCAAAGAACTACGCTGAGCATATCAAGTAGTCTCTCTTGGATGGTCGGCTTGACGGGAGGGATGTAGAAGGCCATGTCGACGAGAGCCTGTGTGAGCTTGGGGGTGAGATCGCACGCAAAGATAGGATCCAAGAGTGCCTCCATGTATTTGCTGAGAGTCTGACCAACAGCGACGGCAAGACGACTAATGCAGTCAAAGACAGGGTCGACTGAGCCTCTCTTGCGGGACTGAAGGCTAAGACCTTCGCGTACGTAAATCAAGACGCCATCGAGGTACGGAGCAATAGCGCTTTTCACAGAATTGGCTATGTTACCAATGGCAAGGAAAGCATCGTTGCGCTCCTTGTCCTTCTTCAACATGCCCGACAAGTATACCATGAACTTGTGCAGCCAAGTGTGCGCAAAGTCCGCTGGCGAGTAGCTGGCAAGGTCTGGGATCAAAAGAACCACGGTCTTTCGAATAGTCGGATCTCTATGGTCCTTGTGTTTGAAGACAATTTCGCATGCTTCTTGGTAATGTTCCTGCATGTACATAGCTCCCTGCTCGAGCAGTTCCTTCAAGACCAGTAGCGAGCCGTGAATCGACTCGACAGTGTTCACCTTGAGACCGGATCTCGCTTCGTTATAGATCTTATCCATCCATAGTTGCTTCATGTCCTGGTCTCGTTCACGAAGGATACGGAAGCAGGCGCTAACTGTTTCCGCTGATGTTGCCCGAATAAGCTGTCGGGGATCTCGGAGTCCTACCCAGATCCAGTCGAAGATTGTCGGTATATATTGGTACATAAGCGTTGGGGCACTACGGGCCAGTTCGCGGAGAACGAGGACAGCGCTATATCTTCGTTCCTCGATGCGGTCGTTCTGTAGCCACTCGAGAGCGGTATTAACCTCTGAGTCCACCACTTCTGATATCATCGCGCCGCCCGGGCGACATAATTTTCCCAGCGCGATCGCTGCTGGTTGCATAGGGTTGATGTCTTTGCCTCGAAGAATGGTCTTGAGGTTCTGTGTGAAACGCGTGTATTTGACGCCGACGTCGACGCCATCGAAATCGATGAGCGCATCGAGGGCATAGATGCCTCCGAGTCGCTCGGACGAGTCGTTGCCATGTGTAATGAGCTGTGTGATCCTGTTGTTGACTGAGTTGTAGAAAACCTGGAATTGCTCGGGGCTAAGGTCTCGATGGCAGACAGCTACAAGCTCGCGAAGCTGCACGGCGGATCGTTTTCGCAAATCATCGCTCGTTCTGTGGGAGTATTAGACCCCTTTGCCCTACCGACCGTCACATGGTGAAACCGACCTTGATTTTAGAGCGCGGGAGATGTTGTCCAGCCGGTCCAGGGCGACCTGCTGTGCTTGCGCCATGATGCCGTCGCGGCACTGGTGTGAGAGCGATCAACGTCGCATGTACTTGAATATCGAGCGCTCGATCGCAGTCGGGCGTTTTCGTAGAGGAGCGTCCGAGATGGAGGGGGGAGATCGTAATTAAGCTTCGAGCGAGGCAGCGCGTGCGCGTGTTGTTCGTTGTGAATGCGGCCGAGACGTTTCCAAAATACAAATATTGAGGGGAGACGCCCAGTTTAGTTGAGCGCCGTCGAGGGTAACGACCGGGGTGGTATTAAGAAAGGTGCATAGCACCGGGGGAGGTTGAAGTTGGAGGTTGATGAGCTTGGGTTGGGTGGAGGTCATTAGATGGATCAAGTTTGGAAATGGCGGGCCAGCGGTGGAGCACTACTGCGGTGTCGTCACAGTGCCAATAGCCATCAGTGATATTCAAGTAGCTTCTTTACAAGGACAATCTAAGAAAAGATTATTTAAAAAGAAGCATAATGAATTAGATATATGAAGCGATGTTAGCATCTGTCACTAGACTTTATGAGTAATTGTAGGAACTAAGGCACCGAGCTCTGTATCGCAAACCGTACCGTACAATCCGAATATCACACTGTCCCGCTATTCCAAGCTTCCACCTCCTTATCTTATCGATAAGCGACATCTCGACTCAATTCTTGGAATCGCCTCAGAGTTCCAGAACTCTCAACTTATTCATCCACATACACCTCCGACGCCCATCTCTATTCCTCCTGCTGTTCATCCCTGTCACTGCGGATCTCGAATCACTGCGTTGGCATCACCCCCCGGATCCATCATTTTGCTCGATCACGCGACATCCTCTACTCATCAATCATGGGTAACGACGGCGGCTCCATCCCCAAGCGTCGCGAGCTCGTCAAGAATGCGGCACGCGCTCCCACCACATCCGAATTGAAAGCGACAGCCCTTGAATCACTCTCTCACGCCTGGGCGCACTGCGCTCTCAGCGGTGAATTCCTCGACGTTGATACTCTTGTCTCCGATTGGCGTGGCCGTCTGTACAATTACGAAGCGATCATCAAAGGTCTCATGCCCTCCGATGAACCAGTTGACGTCACCCCCGCGAGCCTGGGCATCAAGTCACTACGAGACGTGGCGAAGCTCAAGGTCTCCAAGAACGGCGACAAGTGGGTATGCCCCATCTCCATGAAGGAGCTTGGCCCTGCTGTCAAGTCTGTCTACTTGGTACCCTGCGGGCATGTCTTTGCCGATGTCGCCATGAAAGAGATCCAAGAAAAGGCGTGTCCAGAGTGCGGTGCCGAATTCGAGCAAGACAACATCATTCCACTTCTTACAAACTCTGAGGCGGATATCGAGCGATTGGAGAAAAGAATCGAGAACCTTAAGAGCCAAGGGCTTACACATGCCCTGAAGAAGGACAAGTCGGAAAAGAAGAAGAAGCGCAAGGGCGATGATGTGGAGAAAGAGGACAAGGCTGCGAAGGATAAGAAGTCAGATGATGCGAGGATCAGTGGCATCAACAATGAATTTGCGGCGTCGTTAACGGCAAGGGTATTGGCTGAGCAGGACGAGAGGAATAAGAGAAGAAAGCTGGTAGCAGAGTCTGTGAGGCGAGAGACTGCTAGAGGTTGAGAATAGGATTTAAGTATATAATGATACCCAAATTAATGACGTTCCATCAACAATGACGCTTTGCGCTTAGATTGCTTTCACGCAAGATTCGTCGTTCCGTGTCGGTGTCGCCTCTTTCGCTAACCTAACCGAATGGAGGCACCAAAAGCCGTGAGGACTGTACCTCACAACACGAAGTCAACTAAACCTAGAAAGGTGAGACCTGGATTTCTAAAAGCATTAATTACATGAAGGTACAATAGGACTTTCTTTACCAGGGCGGTAGTGAATGTCACATCAACTTCCAGAACAGACTATTCGTCTAGGGTAGCTGCTTGAATCCAACACGACCAGGATGCACGGCGATATTGAAACGATGTAATTTATAGAGGAGTCAACATTTGAACTTAAAGAAATTCATGATTGGCGCATCAAACATCAAACAACGCAGTCTATGAACGGGAAAAACATGGGTATATAATGCATAACAGCATCTTCAACAACATCCAACTCAATCATGCCACTCGTCAAATACTTCAACATCTTAAAAACTCCCTCGTAACCTTCCACGACTTCTCTCCCGGCTCAGGGTCTCTAAAGAACGTAACCCAAATACCACCATCATCCGCCGGTCCAATAAGCGCATTCTTAATTCTCCTGCTCTCCGACACACCATACGGTGACTCGAGCTTCGCAGATTTGAGCGCTGCAGAATCGAGATGCTGAATACCCTCAAGCGCTGCTGATATCGGCGACACAGGCTCGGGCGTAGGAGTAGGAGATGAACGACTCGACGCCAAACTGCACGGTGAACCAGACAGGATTTCCTCAGGTGTTGGATCGCTGAATGATGGGGGCGGGGGAGGTAAACTGGGAGGTTTTGAGATGTCGACTTTGATCTTCTTGGGATCACAAGTAAAGAGGTCGAACGCAGCGTTTGCTTCGGCGGATACTTCGCTCAAACCGCTGGGACTTGGAGCGATGAAGGGATCCATTGCAAAGTCGAGATCGAGAGGGTAGTCGAACTCAGACTCCTCAATCTCAATGCTTCGCGCGGCGATGACGGCGGTTTCACGCGCATGCCAGAGATTCTCCCTGCGATTGCGCATTTGGTTCCGCGTCAAGAGTTTAAGCGCTGCCCGACGAAGGAGCGGATGTCGACATTTTATAGCTGTCCAGTACACAGGTGGTATAATCTCAGTCTCGAAGCTAAAAGGCTCTAGTTTTGCGTTGGAGGGGACAGAACTGATGATGGTTGACGCGAGAGTGATGATGTTTGCAAAGTTGGGTATGAACTGATCGAGCTTTGTCTCGCCTGTGTCCAAAGCAGTAGAGACCCAGATAAGAGTTGACTGGTGATAGATGCGGAGGACGTTTAGTGAGTTTTCGAGAGAAGGAGATTGAGGACTCATTGATGTTGTGACGGTGAATGCGGCGTGCCAGCGACTCAATTGTGAAAGAAGATGCTGCTGCTCGTTCTGAAGCTTTCTGATCTCTTCCGGTTCCGCATTCGGGTTGTAGATCGGAGCTCGGGCGCTTGTGCTGAACTGTAGGGCATCATCTAGAAGGAGATAAAGCGCATATCGAGCTTCTTCAATGGTGGCAAAGACAGCGGGCATGTCGCTCCAGCTGCGTAGGTGCGCTGGAATAGGCGCTGGCCGGCTGCCGAAGAGGAAGCTCGAGAGACTGAGGCGCGCATAGACAGGCACAAGAGAATGCTTAATCATCTCCATCGCCGGTGATCTCCCATCACCGAGCGTAGAAAGAATTTGTCGTCCCTGGCAAATATGCATCTGCGCTGCTGTATCACGATCAATCAAGAACTCAACACAAATAAACAAGACACAAACGAGCAGCGGCACAACAGAAGGCTCACTCCTCTGTCCCCAATTCCTCAGCGACGTAATCGCATTTCCATACTCCTTAAAAGCAAACCTTGTATCAATCTCCCTCAGACTCCTGCTCTTGACCTGGACAGCCTCGTGTAGACTGCTGATAGCGAGAATGGCGTGTCGAACAGCTGGTTCGGTGGAACTCATCTTGAGAACCACGCCGCCCCAGAAACTAGCATCGATGGGACCGGAAAGGACTTTTGCAGTGCGCAGGCGGTAATGGTCAAAGGCGCGTACTTCTTGGGGTGTGTCGAAGCCTGGAGCTGGGGAGAGTGATGTAGGTTCTGGGGAGGAGTTGGGGGAGGTACGGTAGCCGTCGCATTGACGACCTGTTTTGATGCATCGTAGACAATAAGGCTTGCCTTCTGTGGGTTTGTTAGAAGAAGATCTGATAGATGAGTAGTGTTTGTTTACCATCGCATTTGACTTTGCGAATCCTGGAGAACTGTTAGTGAGTGATGCACGTGAGCGAATGAGTTACGAACTTGCAGGTGATGCAACCAGTGCGGACCTTCTTACTACCCTTACGGCCCGAAGCCTTGGGCGGTGATTGTGACGGAATTGAATACATGAGGTCCACCAGTAACGTAATTCTATCTTAGGGCTGATGTTCAGCTTCAGTTGTCGAGGAAGAGTCCGAGATCAAGAGTCCGAGCCCAAGAAATGAAAGGAGCTTCGTGGGTGAACGTGGTGCCTTTATTTGCTTGGGTGCCCGCTGTAATTGTAGGGGCCTAGGCTGAATCCTTCATCCCCGCAGTGTTGATGATCCTTGCTTGATCTTGACGCTGTGCTTACAGAGCCCCTCGGCAGTGTATGGAGCTTATTTGCTGGACAGGCGCTGGGATCGGGTGTTCTAAATGGATTGGGGCGCAGCAGCTATGAGGATGAGGCGAAGCTGATTAAGGGTATAGCCGGTTAACTATGATGATACTGCAATGATCCATGGAACTTTATTTTCCATTTATTGATAGATAGCAAACTGTTGTATTGCTTCTGGTTTAACTTGGCTAATGATTCAGATGGCAAGATGGTGGTTATTACGGGTGCCAGCGTTAATATGATAGGGATATTGGATGTGTCAAACCATTCGCTCTCGGATTGAAAATAGTTACTCTGCAATACGAATACACTTTAACTTAGAAGGAAACCGCTAAAACTAGTAATTAAGAACAGAAGAAACGACCCAACGGCTGCCAATCCACGATAACCACTCCCCTCAGACCAACCCCCGGCGCCTCAGCCTTACAGCAGACCCCACAGAGCTCCAATCCTTCCACGCAACTCCCCCTCTTCCCCAATTGGTCCGCTCGGACTCAAACCTCGGACTCAGATCGTAGGCGCAGTCAGACGCTAAATCCTCCCAAAACACTTCTTTTTCCTAATTCAGCTCGCACTCACTGTCCGAGATTAAAGCCAAGATGCTATACGCAAAATATAGCTAAATTCCTCAGCCTTGAGGGCTGAGAGGATTTACGCATTGGAATCCGAGAAGCTCAAGATCTTCATGATGATGTGATGGTGTATATAAGGGAAGCCCCCAACGTATCTATCATGAGGGTTACATACAAATCATCATTCGCTGGCTTTTCATTCTTTTGATAATGCCCTCTCCTTCTAAAATTGCAGCTGTAGCTGCTGTGTCCTTCACTCTCATCGACGCAAAAGCTTGTCCGCCCCTTGGCGCCGTCTTCCCAGCACCTCAATCCCCTTCCCAAAGCTCCATCGTCAAAAAAGCAACATCCCTTCTCAAAGCAGGTCTCGACGCTCAAATAGGCGCTCGATTCAATACTTCAGCTCTCTCTATTGGAGTCAAGTCCCTTCACGAGGATGACCCTTTGTTTACGTATCAGTGGACACCGCCTAATCCCGGCGAGGGCACTGATAAGGTAGACGAAGACACTGTCTTTCGAATTGCTAGTGGTTCCAAGCTTTTCACTGCTTTGGCGGCGCATATTAGTGATAAAATTGACTTGGAAGCTTCTGTGTTGAAGTATTTGCCTGAGTTGAACAAGACAGCTGGGGATGTATATCTTTTCGTTGAAGTGGGAGGACATCACTGTCGGATCACTCGCTAGTCATCTCTCAGGCGTTGGTGTTGATAGTAAGCCACCATTCCACATTCGACTTACTCAACTAACCGTGAATAGTGGCTCAGGATCTTGCGATCGTTGGCTCAGCTCCATGGCAGCCATACGGTCTTCCCGAGGTTCCCAAGGGCAAAGGCCCCAACTGCTCTGGTCTTCCCGGCACTACCCCCTGTACCAGGAAAGATCTTCTTGAGCAGGTCAACCTTCGACCTCCAGTTTATGCACCTTTCACCAACCCTATTTACTCCAACGTTGGCCATGCTCTTCTTGGTCTTGTCATTGAGGCTGCTGAGGACATGCCCTATGAGGATGTTATCAAGCGTGATATTCTTGACGTTGTTGGTATGAAGCATACTTATGTCGACAAGACTCCTCCCATGGATGATCTCTTCATTCCTGTCAAGGAGCCTACCTGGAACGCTACTCTTGCTGTTTTCGATTCGTAAGTCAAATATTTCGATGCAATAACTTTGACTGACTGTTTCAGTGCTGGTGGCATTTTCTCTTCCGTCTCTGACATGCTTCTCCTTGCCGATGGTATCCTCAGCAACAAGTTCCTCACACCCGTTCAAACCCGCAAGTGGATGAAGCCAGAGGCCAACACCGCTTCATGGGGCTACCAAGTCGGCGGTCCATGGGAGATCCTCCGCGGTGACAACATCACCTCTGACGGTCGTCTCATCGACATCTACACCAAGAGTGGTGATCTCGGTCTCTACCACTCTCAAACCGTCCTCATTCCCGACTACGACATCGTCATCTCTATCATGACCGGCGGTCTCGAAGCGTCTGCAAACTCCTTCGTCACCGGCACCATCCTCAGCAAGGTTCTCCAAAATCTCCTTCCCGCTATTGAAAAGGTCGGTCGTGATGATACAAAGGAGGCTTTTGTAGGTGATTACGAGGACAAGGATACCAACTCAACTATTACATTCGCAATGGACAGCGGACCTGGTCTCAAGATCAAGAGCTGGCAGGTCCGTGGTTTCGATGTCCTGAACAACATCGGAAACTACAATTTCAACGCCCTCGAGTCCAACGCCTCCACAGAGACTCCATATGTCGACGCCCGCATGTATCCCAGCAACCTCAACAAGAAGGGCCAAACAGCCTGGCGCGCTGTTTTCGACCGCACGAATTCTACCGCGGACGCAGAGTATGACAGTGAACTGTTCTTCAAAGATGGAGCATGCCAGACCTGGTTCCAGCAAGATCGTATGGTATACGATTACCTGCCCCTGGATTTGTTTGTTTTTGTTGAGGGCGAGGAGGGTGTTAGTGAGGCAGTGAAGAGCCCTGCTTTCAATGTGACTTTGACAAAGGTACGGCAACCCGCGGAGAAGAAGGCGGCGGATGATAGAAATGCTGCTGGTGAGATGCGAGTTGGGGGCCTTGGTCTTTCACTTGTGGCTGTTGCGACGTTTATGAGCTTGTTCTAATAGTTTGCAGGTCAAGTCTGGTACTCAATATTGAAGAACTGTTGGTAATTACCATGGAATGGATAAGAGTGTAATACAATATATATATATCGACTTTTGTCATTCGCCAATGAGACTCAAGCTATTAATTAAAATACACTGTTTAATTTACCTAGCCTAGCCTCCAGTGACACTCGTCTGCAAGTGTCCTGCGTGGTTTTCATAGATGGCCTCCCTGGGGACCTCGGGGGGCCAGGATAGAGACCCTTCCCAACAACGAAGAACAGCCTAATAAACAATCCAGATGCCTAGCAAACATAAACCGGGTCTAGCTCACACGATAAACACCTCAAAAAACAAGCTTAAACACAATAAACTCACGGAATCCTCGGACCATTGAAAAAGTTCCTCAACCCCGCACCATCATAATACAACGCTACGCGGTGATCGAGACCCAACATGGAAGGTCAACCAGAGCCAAGCAAATCCTCATCGTATGACGCAACATCTTATCGTGAACCTCGCAGCAATGCCGTGTTCTCGTGAACTTGGACATTCCTCTTTCAGAGATGCGGTGTAAGCGCTAGCTTATCGTGACTGGGTGTAAGTGAAATCCCCCGCACGAGATGTGCCAAGCATGCTTTGGAGGGGTAGTATAAATATGATGTAGTTCTCTGATGTGTGCTCTGAAGTAGTTCGTCACGATTGTTGAAATAGTCTTGGGAATCATGACGAGGAATCTGGCTACTTGTCTTGTTGCTGCGGCGTGTGTATACGCTTGTCTACCCGACAAAGATGAACTCTCCGCTCTTCGGGCCCGTCGCTCAGCACGTACATCTCAAAGTCGTCACCTGAAGCGCGATGTCGTCGAATTTCCTCCCGTCCTCACTGAAGTCGAAACTCTCCTCGTGAATTCCTTCGACAACAATTCTGTCTCAGACTGGTCACTTTACTACACCTCTGGTTACCGTCTCGCAGGCCATAACAGGTCTCAAGCAGAGTGGACGCAGAAGAAGTGGATCGACGCAGGTTGGGAATCGTGGATTGATGAGTATTGGATCACGTATACGGAGCCAATTGAGAGTACGCTTAGTCTGAAGAGGCCTGATGGGAGTGTGCATGAGGTGCAGCGGTTGGAGGATAAGTTGGATGTTGATGAGCAGACGAGGAATCCTAATGAGCAGGTTGCGTACCATGCGCTTTCTGGAAGTGGGAGGGTCAATGCTGAATATGTTTACGTGGGGTAAGAATATTTATGACATCGACGTACTGTTTGCATGGCTAACTCTGGGGTGTAGTCGTGGTTCGAGGGAGGATTATCAGAAACTTAAGGATCTTGGTGTTGAGCTGAAGGGGAAGATTGCCCTGGCTCAATATGGTGGCGCAAACCGTGGAGTCAAGATCAAGAACGCTGAGGTAAGTTCTTACCAACAGATTATGAAGAGTCAGGTACTGATTCATAGTAGGCTCACGGCATGATTGGAACTATCCTCTACACAGACCCTCTCGAGGACGGTGAGATTACAGAAGCCAACGGCTATCTCCCCTACCCAGGTCAGCATGAAGGATCCCCAGACATCAATACACACTAACAGCTCCAGACGGCCCTGCTCGCCACCCGTCCTCCATCCAAAGAGGCAGCACCCGCTGGGGCTCCCTCTCCTTCGGTGACCCCTCAACAATCGGCTACGCCTCCCACAAAGACTCTCCTCGCGCTGACATAACCCCCTATGGGCCCTCCATCCCATCAATCCCCATCTCCCCTCGCGACGGTCTTCAACTCCTTCACGCTCTCGACAACCACGGCCTCTCCGCTGAAACAGTAAACAGAACTAACTACAAGGGTGCTTTTTCAAACGTTACGTATCATAGTGGCCCTGCACCAGGAGCTACGCTTAATCTTGTGAATATCATGGACACGAGACTCGAACCGGCATGGGATGTTATTGCTTCGATTAATGGCACGAATGAAGATGAGTATGTTATCATTGGTAATCATAGAGACGGGTGGACGGCTGGTGGAGCGGCGGACGCTGTGTCGGGTGGTGCGTTGCTTATTGAGATGGCCAAGGCTTTTGGAAAGCTCGTCGAGAACGGATGGAAGCCTCGTCGAACAATGTGAGTCATCCCAACCCAACACAAGATGAAAACTAACGAGAGCAGTATTCTAGCTTCGTGGGACGCTGAGGAGTTTGGTCTCATGGGCAGCACAGAATGGGTCGAAGACCATCTTCCAGAACTAATTGAAAAGACAGTTGCGTATATCAACCTCGACACAGCTGTTTCTGGTCCGAGAGCGGAGATTGTTGGATCAGGTGAGATCCAGACCATTGCTATTGAGACTATGAAGAAGATCATCTTTCCTGAGGGCTATGGCGCTGGGCCCACGTTGTATGATGCATGGTACAATGCTACTGAAGGTGTTTTGCCTGCTATGGGAAGTGGTAGTGACTATGCTGCTTTCTATCACAACGGTATCACTTCTGTAAGTGTGACGGAAGATCTGACAGGGGATGTGACTGATCTTTTACAGCTTGATATTGCTGGAGGCCCTGGTCCTAAAGATGCCGTTTACGCATACCATACGTACGTATTCCATTGGCTTTGCCATGACTCAACTGACATAACCCAGTCTCTACGACACGCATCGCTGGATGGCCGAGTACGCAGACCCAGGCTTCCATCTCCACGTAGCAATGGGTCAATTCGTAACTCTCCTAACATACCACATCGCCGACGATCCCCTCATCCCCTTTGATCTCACTCACGCCGGAACCGCCCTGCGCGACATCTTCGAGGATCTCGAAGAAAAGCTCACCGACCGCTTCCCCTCCTATGAGCTTGATCTCACGCCCCTCTCCTCAGCAGTATCTTCCTTTGAAGAAGCAGGAAAGCGCATTTCTACGCTAGCTAAGCAAGCACTCGCTCTAAATGATACTGTTCTGCTGAGTGCTGTTAATGCGGCGTACAAGGCGTTTAGTCGAGGCTTCGCGAGCGAGGGATTGCTGCCGGGTAGGTTTTCGTTTTACAATGTTGTTAGTGCACCGGGGCTGGATAGTGGATATGGCGCGGATGTTTTTCCAGCGGTGCAGGATAGCTTGGATCAGGGGAATTTGACGCAGGCTGAGGAGTGGGTTGAGAGGAGTGCGAAGGCTGTCTTGAGGGCGGCTGATATTTTGAAGGTTGGAGAGTAAGTTGCGGTTTGAAGCTATTCTTATGACGTTGGGGGAGAAGCGGGCTCATGTTCCAAACGGGTGCCTTCAAAAGCATATTTAATTGAGTAGATTGCTTGCATTATGCTGTGCGCCGTTACTGTTACTCACAGATTTAAGCGACAATGCCACATCATCTGCATACGATAAGCGACCGCACGTCAGACTCAGCCTGGGGATGTGAAATGAACACGATGGCATCAGCCCCCAACGTTTACCCGTGAGCGAACCACAGGGAACCGCTGGAACTGTAGGGCTGATCAGTTCATCGAGTCCATTTTCTGGTGCCTGGAAAACAAGCAACACAGCCCATGCAACAACGGCCATCACGAGCGAATCAAAGGCCCCTGTCATCAAGGATCATCTCGAGTCTTACCCCATTCATACCAGCGCAGTGGACCAGAATAAAACGGCCTTGCCAATTAGATCGACAGTCTAGGACTTTTGGCTGCAGGCTTCAGGCGAGGCAACCTGTGCGAGAGGGAGAGTGAGATGAGGTGAAACGGATGTCCGACTTGTCTGTCTCCCTTGTTTCCATTAATATAACACTGCCTGCTTATGCCCTTCTGTTTCTCACTTGATCAATCATTAATTATTGTCAAACCTGCCGGGTTAATTCACTCCTTCAATCGTCGTCAACGCTCCTTTGACCTTGTTTCATCTGTATTGCAACTTTCGCATAAAATATCCCTTTAATCTCACCCTGTGAGTTCCGAAACATCTTCAATGGCGTCAGCCTTTATGCACCACGCAAACTAACAAACGCCTCCAGAATTTCTCCATTTCTTTTCTTAAAACGCATCGCGAAAATGGGAGATAATAACTACATCGGCGAAGCTGGTCTTCACCATCTTCCTCTGCGCATGAGAGACGCACCACTCTCCAAATTCCCCTCTTTAAACCAGCGAAATGGCAAAAAGGTCCCTGAGAGCTTGCACTTCACCCCTGGGGCTTTTCGTCTCAGGTCGCCGACGGAGTCGTCAATGAGTAGTATTTCTTCAGCAAATGTTCCTGATTCTGCGACGACGCATTCGCTTTCTACGCTGGCGAGTCCGATAAGCACCACGTATGCGAGCTCGATCCAGGAGCAGTTTGCTGCTGCGACGCTAGATGGGTCGAGACCTGCGAGCCGTATCTGCCATCGACATAATCCATCGAGCGGAACTTGCTCGATGTTTGTTAATGAGGATGATGATGCGATTATCACGGGATATCCTGAGTTCGATATCAAGATTAGAAATTTGAACGAGGCGCATGGAAGACCTGTTGTTCAAGAGCTTAGGCCTGCGAGGTGAGTCTTCCGATGGTTCCGTGCGATCGTGTCGCTTACGTTCACAGCCCCAGTACAGAGTCGTTTGTGAAGGAGGAGAGGGTTCTTACGCCAACAACAGAGTCGCATCGTACGGACAATATTTCTAATGATGATGAAGATGACTCGGAAGAAGTGTCGCAAGAGGACGCAAACTCAGTGCTCAATTACGCACTCCAGGTCATTTACGGCGTCGACCTCAACGACGTCTCCATTCCGCAAGACAAGGTCCAAAGCCTCGTATCCAACTTCACGCAAGACATAAGCCAGCATATCTGGCAATCTGCTTCAGATGGTCAATTATCGCACACAATGTCAACCTCAAGCTCCTCCTCTACACCCTCCCAGGACGCTAATGGCGATCGCCGGGGCGGAAAGAGGAAGAAGCAAGGTCGACGTGAAGATGACGGCGATGAGTTTAGCGATGGTGAAGGGTCGGGATACTTGCCTACAAAGCGCTCACGACCGAATCCCAAGGAGGATGAGAATCTTCGATTGAG